GCGCACGTCCACTGAGTTTCCACAGTGCGTGTTGACATCAGAGGTGAAACGTGCGGCGTTGAACTTGTGCGTGTGTCGCTCTCCGTGCCACGACTCGCCGTTTCTTGTCCATCTTGTGAAGCAAGCAGAAGCAGTCCGCTGTGCTGTCATCAAAGGCCTCCGAGCATATTCACATGTGTCTTCTGCCTTGTCTCGTCTCCTGCGGCACGCCGTCGAGGCTGTAAGGCGCTCTGCCTGCAGACAGAGCGGGGTAAGGTAGGTAGGTTTATGGGATCTGGCTTGGTGGAATGACGCTTTATTTACATTTGCCATTCGGATTGTGACTGTTGTCCTGCAGCATTTTAAGTGTCCCAACGTGCAGTCAAGCATGTGTCATTGCTCCGTAGAGTTCCTGCAGGAGCATAACATGCAGCATACGGCCGTGCGTCTGATCTGAAATACTAACTGTGCTGCATTTGGAGCGGCGCCGCAGCATTCCTGTGTTGGGATGTAGGACAAAACTTTGTGAGGTGATCACAGCTGCGGCCTTTTACAAACTGCGACAACACCTCTCACAGGCTGATATCTGCGGTGGACGTGGCTTCGGCATCAGAGTAGAAGTGCTTCTTCTTATTCACATTCATGAGTAGAAAAAAATTGGTCTTAAAAATAGGACAAGTAGCTACTGATTGATGAGACATTCATTAAATTGACAGGTTGTTTGTGGTCTATCGGAGAAGCTGACAAACCACCGCATACAGACGGGGTCTAGCCTGTTAGAAGGACAGACATGTAACGTGTCCTGTGGAGAGAATCGGGAAAAGAGAGTCGATGAAATATTAAACTGGGATTTTTTTTCCTTAATGGGCTATTGAGGCCCAGAGAAGAAAGAATATTAGACACCCTACGCAGGTTACAAAGAAAATTTATATCGAACACCAAAAAACAAGAACTCGTCTAAATTTCAATATATATAGTTCTATAGGAATTACCTGCCTATTTTCCAGACTCGTGTCTACCACATATCTCCTCCTGGTTGAGGAGAACAACAAAGAAAGAGCGCTTTGTTAAAGCAGCAATAGAAACACAAAGCATGGACTCAGATCAATTAAACGAGAAATTAAGTAATGAAGCTGCAAGGGAAGTTTACTATGTTGAAGACAAACTCCTTGCATACATTTCTGCATAAAAAGCCTCTGCAGACATACATCATGTTGGACATCAGATTATATAGGATATATATAGCCTTTTTTTTACATTTGACATTTATTTAAAAAAAAATGTTTGACCCATTTCTGCTTAAGTGAATGTTGTCTTGTCTTATTTAGATCACTAATTGATGATTGCTGTGGAGCTGATCAGGAGGCCGTGCGACCAGTTAGGGAATAAAATCAGGGCATGTTTGAATGCTTTTATATAACAAATCTAAACGGAGATCAGGGTTCTATAAGACAGCTAAAAGAAAAAAAATCGACTAAACTACGGTCATGCCTTTAGTTTCATCACTTAGTTTAACTTCAGTTGAGGACATGGAGTTAAACTAAATGTGCAGAGGCCCAAACCTTATTTTCGACTCTTTTTTATTTTTTCTAGCCTACGTCACTTATTTCGTAGCATATTTATTAGAACATTATAATTATCGTATAGGCTTTTATCAGCAATTCATTAAAATATATTTTACCTCTGTAATAAGATGTTTATTTACTTAATTTTATAGCTTGTCCTTTGTCCTAATAAATCCGAACATAAAATATAAATAATTAGTTCACCTCTGCCTTTCATCAGCATTCTTACTTGATATCATATACTATACTCGTCCACTGGATATTGTTTCATTATGTTATATTCTAATTAATGTAAGGATTATTTCAGTGCTGTACTCAATGAATTGTAGAAAGATTTATTTATTTATTTGTGTATTTAGAAAAAAAGGTTAGTCAGTATTTTGAATTTATATAAGTGCAAAGCAACATTTGACATCTAAAAACAATTTAAATAATATGTGTCTTTCACTGTGTGATAATAATCGAGTCATAAGTATCTATAAATAAAAAGGCATTTATGAAAGATGACAGATTTGAGATGTTTTAGTTGCTGGGATAGACTGCCTTAGTATTCTATTGAACTCCACTAAGGCCTTCAAACAGCCTTTAAGACGCATACACTTTTATTTCTTAGTAATTCTGTCAATGTGATATATTTCTTTTCCTTTATGAATAAAAATAAAATAACATTTTGCATGTTGAAACAAAAAAATGTCACAAATCAAGTTAAATAATTGGCCCATCCATCATTAGTACAATAATTGACTTGTTTTAAAGCTAAATAAAATTTTGAAGATGATTGCTCAGTCTTTTAAGATGAATATTTGTTAACTGAATAACGAATATTGACTGAAAGAATTGTAAATGACCGTCCAATCTAAACAGAGTTAAGCTGATGGTCATCCCGTTTAAGCTACAGCAATTTTAAACGCTTACACACATTCACACACACTAATAATCTTCAAGCTATCCCCACCTAGATATATAGCCTAGTTGCGGTCCGATGTAGGTCTAGTAAGGTGTTTCACAACGCTGAAAATATATGTAGAATTCTCATATATTAATGTGGACCTTTTATGGCATTCTCTCATTAATTTTTTTATTCGACTTTTCTGACTGCATTTATTACCCCCATCAGCGTGTGAAGGAATGACTGAATTACAAGAAACGTCTTACAGTTTTTCACATGCATACAAACTGCTGGTTTAATGACTCACATAAAAGTCTGGCTTCATTCTTCCTGCAATTTAAAAAATAGAACAATAGCTTCATTTATCATTTTCTTATAGTATAGACCATAATTTCCCAGAAACGCTAGTTATTTGAAAGAAGTATTAAAACGCTCAGACATGGTGTGTGATGTGCAGGGCTTCATACATAGCAACAGGAAATAGACGCAAACGAATTTGGGCTATATGTTAAAAGTTGTGCTAGATTTAAAATATATAGGCCATAGCCTATGCTTTGAGTGAAAGGTCTGCGCAATCAAATTTGTTTCCAGATGGACCAGAAGGAAGATTTATTACTGTGGATAAAGTAGCCTATCGCCAGCACGGGGACAGTATTTGCAGAAGTGATCAATAACAGGTAAATGTGGTGTATAGGCTTTGAAATGTTTTTTTGTTTGTTTGTTTTTTTTATAGCAGAAATACATTGACAACTACAATACTATAATTTCATTTTCAACTTCAGATTTCAGATGAGAGATGTTTAAAGGCCTATTTGTAAACTCGGTCTAATAGGTAGGCCTAGTTGGCCTAAATTTAAACATGGGGATGTTCTGGTCTCTTCATACAATGCCTGTCTATGCCGTAGCCTATAAACGTCTAATTATAGATATTATTTGCATGCAGGTCTATCACAACACAGACTTTAGATTAGTCAACTAGTGCATGGCATATTGCTTTGAAAAAAAGCAGCTCATACACAATAAACACCCCTTGTTGTTATATGCGACGGTAGCATGCAGTCAGTCAAGAGACAGGCCCATGAGCAGCAGCCACTCTACCGCAGCACAGTGCTTTGGACGCCTGAGTTAGATCCGGTTAGAAAGACACATGTAAAACAGCCTGGTGACTCCCCTGACAAAGTCGCAACTTAGATGACGCTAGAGATAACTAGTGAATAATGACTTGACTTGCTAACTTAGCCACAGCAAGGCCAAAGATTTAAAAAAAATAAAAAATAAAAATAAAAAAAAGCTACTGTTCCTTTTGTGCCTCTCGTGAGCGCAGTCGCGTTTGGCTACAAGCACAAGGTAGCCTGCCCAGGTGGTGTTTTATAATTTGGCGGAACGGAGTGTTTGGAACATGTTTGGACCAATGAGCGAACGGATGGAGTGACTTTAAGAGTTACACACGTTTTGATTCACTTTTTGCTTCTGAAATGACTCTAAGCTGGCCACAGCTACAGTTCACCGAAGGAAGAAACTATTCACTGTTACCCGTCCTCACGGTGAGTAATTATATGCTGCTAAAAATATGGATATTTGTTTATCTTTTAATCCAACTAGAGGTACGCAAACTTTGCCATCACATCAATTAGCTAACACAATGTTGGGATGTAGCCTAATCTTTGCATACCTAAATGCAGTTCCTAAAACTATTACCATAGGTTAATGGTCACTGTCTGCCCTTATCCCGACATGTTTTGACAATACTGCACCACACTGCCATGCCTGGAAAGTAAAACCGAATTAAAGTTGTGAAAAAACAAACTCTAATGTTTAATAAATAAATGGGGTGATGTTGGTTAATTCACACATGAAGTGTCAATTTTTTTAAAATAAATTGTTGAAATGAATTATAATGCCCTGTGTTTTCAGTGTATCTCATTGATTGCCTTAAAGCTGATAGGGGTTAAGTAGACTCGTTTAACCAGGATCTGGTCATACAGGTGGACAAAGAAACTATCACTTCACTCACCGGTCTTATTATTTATGTTATTTTATTACATTTATATTTAATTTGTTTATGAGGCCTAATGACTAAGATGCGAAAGGACAGGTTTAAGAATTAGACTGGAGGGACATGATTGCCATGACCGGATTTTCTTATGACTTGCAAATGAATGATTTTGGCCCAATTTTGGATGCGCATACAAAACTCTTAAACTTCAAATAAGCTGTAAGGTCAGGTTACCACAAGTCATTATTTGCAAAAATCGTTAGCACGTTAAATTTATACAGAGACATGCCATAGCTATTAACTAGTGCTACTTTGAAAGGATAAGTATTTTCCCATCTTATGTTAAAACAGAGGGCAAGCTAGGGTCTTTCCAGGTAGCAAAAAACACCTAAATTTTCAGAGGCCGTGTCAACAAGTCGAAACTTAACCAGAGTGTGGGGGGAATGTGTTTTTTCCGAGCAATCGATAGTTTCGTTTCAATATTATCATGTCAGCTCATGACCTGAAGGAGAAAATACACCTTCCTCCCTCTGCATTAACGTCTCCCTCGTTTTTATACATCTCTGTGTAGATCTCGCGAGAGCTCCGGCGTTGGCTGTGGCTGGCCGTGGCTTTGCAGCAGACAGAGGGAGAAGGCAGGCAGGCAGCATCATGGCGGACAGAGACAGTGGAAGTGAGCAGGGAGGAGCAGCCACGGGCCCAGGCTTCGGTTCCATGCACCTAGCGACAGGAGGGGCGGGCTCGGCTTCCGGGCTCCAGCATGAGACACAAGAGCTAGCGTCGAAGCGAGTTGACATCCAAAACAAACGCTTCTATTTGGACGTTAAGCAGAACGCGAAAGGCCGCTTCTTAAAGATAGCAGAAGTCGGGGCCGGTGGAAACAAGAGCCGCCTCACTCTCTCCATGTCTGTGGCGGTCGAGTTCCGTGACTACTTGGGGGACTTCATCGAACATTATGCCCAGTTGGGTCCAAGCAACCCGGGAATGGTACAAGACGAGCCTAGGCGAGCACTCAAAAGCGAGTTCTTGGTCCGAGAAAATCGGAAATACTACATGGATCTGAAAGAGAACCAGAGGGGACGGTTTCTGAGGATTCGACAGACCGTTAACCGGGGGCCCGGTTTGGGATCCACGCAAGGCCAGACGATTGCACTGCCTGCCCAGGGACTTATTGAGTTTCGTGACGCTTTGGCTAAACTTATTGACGATTACGGTGTAGAGGACGAACCTGCAGAGTTGCCCGAAGGGTCATCATTGACTGTGGACAACAAACGGTTTTTCTTCGACGTCGGATCCAATAAGTATGGTGTGTTCATGAGGGTAAGCGAGGTGAAGCCAACGTACCGCAACTCAATTACGGTGCCCTACAAAGTGTGGTCCAAATTTGGGAATACTTTCTGTAAATATGCCGAGGAGATGAAGAAGATCCAGGAGAAACAGCGGGAGAAAAGGGCATGCGAGCTGCAGCAACAAGAGGAGATGCAGGCGGACGATGGAGACGAGGATTGATATAGAGAGCAAAAACATGCAAGAGTAATGAAAATAACAAGAGAAATATAATTAAAACTCTACTGTATAAAGAAAGAAATCTAAAGATTTAACTGTAATGGTTTAACTCCAAGGGAGCATCACCCACAATATAAGAAACCTCCACAACCTGACAGTTATGACATGTTGTCACTCATCGCTGGATGTTACCCCACTTATCCACCATTAATACAGTTAACAGGCTGCTAAACAAAGTAATAACATTATATTTGAACATTGTTTCCTACTTGACAAACAATATTGAACTGAGTGTTTATTTCCCTTATTAACAGAAAACTTTTGTACCAGTTAAAGCTATTGTAAAAAAGTGTTTGCAATGTTCAAATGGAATTATTGCCGAGTTCCGATGAAAAAACGTTTCCTTTTCATGTGAGCTAATGACTTCAGCACAAATCAGATATTTTAATTTTTAAACCAAAATTCAAAAACTTTGTAAAAGGTTGTCACATGTACTTGCCATCCTATTTACCTTTACCTGTGAGTAGAGATGTGTTTACACATAAATCATATGAGGGCTAGGCCTGCTTCGGAAACTGGTTAGATGTCATGCAGTATAAAAAGGAATATAGGCATTTTTCATGAAATGAAATAAGTGCTCTATTTGTTGTGCAATATGCATTGCATAAAAATCAAATATATATTGAACTGGTCAATGGATCTTGACATGATGACATTTGCCAGAGGCATTCAAAGAAATATTAATATTGTAATTTTTTTTCAGTTGAAATTGTTGCCATGCAGATGGATATATTATAGACTACCTTTGTGTCTCGTTGTTAATGCAATGTGTTCATTTTAAAGGTACTAAATGTGTATTTGATAGAGGAAATGCAGTGACAACATGTAGCAAATGGCCTGATTTGCAGATTACTTTACAAGAGAAACACCCCACACATACTGTGTTGATTGGCTCAGTGGTCTGAAAAGAAGAGGCAAAATTCAGCAGAGCTTCATTGGTTACTACACCTGAAACAGAACAACATTTTATGATCTTGTTCAGTCATAAAAATCTAAATGGTGCCAAGGAGTGCTGTTGCTGCATGTTAATCTGCACTAAGATTTCGTTGGTCTCCCAAAATATTGGCTCAAGGACCCTCCTATATGTATCTTTATCTGCCTATATTGTGCAAATCTCAAGTTTGAGTACTGAGTGATTCCATCCAAGGCTTGGTGTATTTGTAGTGGAAGTTGCTTTCAGAGCGCGATTGTAAAAGGAGCGATCTTGTGAACTGTAATTACAATATCACCATCACACTATGAGGAGGGACACTGAGGAGCACTGCTGGATAAGCCAAGGTGAAGAAAGTTCAATTCACCTGTTGATGAACCGCCAGTTGTGTCAATGGATGTGCCCATCCCTACAAGTTAAAGATCTGAAGGTGTGAAGTTCAGTGGGGCTACTTTGGATACATACTCATAGCTCTACTTTATATTTGTAAGCCCAAATATCTACCTGGGGTGATGAGATTCTGTTTTGGTCTAATTGTAAATATTTGGGCTGCCACACGGAAAACAACTGGTTCTAATCCAGTTCAGTCGCATCTCATAGATGTGTGATAGCAGTTTTATAAACTCTGTCAGTAAACTCCAGAGAAACTGGCAACAATCAGATAATGTCAGATTTACCTCAGCATTGAATTAAATGATTGCTCCCATGTTTAGATTGACTGGAAACCAGCAAACTAGACTGTCCTTGACCACCTATTTTTGGAGCCTCTGGTATAGCCTAAATGATACGTGATTGGGAGCATCCTCTTCAGCATATAAACAACCTGGTGCCTTACACACTCCGCATGCTTACACGCTGGCCTGGTGCTTTGGATCGCAGTTTGGCTTCTTTTTGTTATTGTTTCCTCTTTATTTCTTCCATTTTTGTGTCTCAGCCCCCTTGTGTGCTAGCGCACGACTCGTGGTGCTAAAAGGGTTTGTTACAAACTCTTCAGAAAAATAGGAGCAGAATTCTTAACTTTTTTCTGCTACCTTCCTTCTTCCCTAACTTCATTGCCATCCCCATTTCCCAGCCATCCAGGTATCGGCCTACATGTAAACATGGAAGGGGGTGGTCACCTAGATGCAAGATGATGCAGAAGAGTTGGCTCTTCACTAACCAAGCACATTAGCAGGAAGAGCAGGGGCTGATTGGGAACATTGGTAGTGGCCTGAAATTATGTAAATTGTTGTTGGAAAGCCCCCCTTGAAATGCTCGTTGTATGGCTTGGGTAGTTATGTGTAAGTTGTAAGTCGCTCAATTAATGGGGAGTAGCAAGCATGTCTTGTTTTGTTTTTTGTTTTACGTAGTTTTACCTTTTCAGCATTATTCCACATTATTTGTAATTTTGGAATGTTTTCGCCCACAAAAAATATATCTATTTTTTCTGTGCAACATTTCATCACTGTGTGCAATATCGTATGTGCCAATGGTGGCAATATATGTATATCAATTAAATATATGATTACTATTTGAAAGCATGTGGCTGAATTCCATGTTTATTTCTCATGAAGGAGTTGTATGCCTTTATTTGCACTCAAAGCTCCATCCTGGAGGAAAATATAGTAAACCAAGGTCTTAGCAGCCTGTTGGGTCAAGAAGTTCACATAAGTACTTTAACTTGAAATAGAACAATGTCACTGTAAGTATGCCTATCCCTAGGAAAAGGGTAAACTTGGCTTATGGGTTGTTGAAGGTAGACTATAAACACAGTGGAGTTTTTGTGAAAAGGAAAATTTAAGAAACAGTGAAATCTCCATTTTAGCTCTAAGCTAAGAAAAGGTGCTTCAGTCCAATCCTCATTAAGGTGTATGGTGAACTGTCTTCAGTGGTTGTTGTGTGTAGCACTTTGCTTTCCCAGGTTAATGAAATGCCTGACCAATACTTGTTTAAAATGATTTCAACAAAGAATGTCGTTCTCTCTTATGTTGCCTCTTTTTTTAAAAAGAGGGTATTTGATTTGCTCATTTGGTTTTGATGCATTAAATATAATTTATGTACATTTGACAAATTTTAAAATAAATTTAATTTACCCATGAGGGAAAATCTGCATTCAAAATGTATGTGTTTTTCATGTTTCATTTCTTGTTGGAAAAAAAAACTTCCAAAATGTCTACAGTTCACTGATGAAAAGTATGTTTAATTTTGATGTAGTGTTGTCTAAAATGTCTAACTCTACATTTGCAATGATACTAATTACTTAAGCTTAATTTTACAGCCTTTAAAATGCAAACTTTGCAATGACAAGTACCCGATGACTCATGTCTTCTTAGAGATTTTTACATTAGTACTGTATGTGTAATACCAGGCTGTAAAATAAAGCATTACTTTCGTCTCAAAAAACCCTGACTATGCAATTTGTGATCATCTTTATGTCATGATTGCTCTTCTGTGAGCTTTGCTGATCATGAAACACTACAGGAATGAGAGCTTATTGATCATGACCCACCAGAACGTGCATGTCTTTTAAGTTTTGTCACAGCTTGCAAATAGTTCTTTTTTGATATGCTTTAAAATGTAAGCAGGTTTTGGATTACTTCTTAATACATTACATTATTACTTTTATAGCTATTTTGAAGTTGCATGGATTTGTAGTCACGAGTTAGATGTCTAGTTTAATGCATGTTAATAAAAAGGTATACCATAAAAGATGTTAATTATTGTAAATATTGAAAACAGTCCAAACGATATCATTCACCAGATCATCAGAAGCCTCAGCATTGTTTCTGCCTTTAAAAAGTTTTTATGACATGAGGAGATCTTGCCAGGGCCATCAACGTTGAGAGGATTTGTATTACTCTTAACTGTCCTGTACTTTCTCCTTGACTATCTACCAGAGAAAACCACATTAGAAAAATGTGAATATACATAAGGATGACTTAATGACTAAATCTCCAGGGAGGTCAGACTGCAGGGTCTGGACATGCTCAAACAAATTTTGCAGAAAATGTTTATGTTTAGGCTTTGTTGTGAAATAGATAGTTTCCCAGTTTCTTGGCACCCATGTTGGCCAGGAAGAAGGGTAAAAAAAATGAAGGAGATGTGCTACACTGAGATGGACTCAAACCCAGAAGCCAACTCAGACTCTGACTTTGCTCTTCATCCAAGAACCAGAACAAGTGCAAAGCATCAGAACTGATGATAAATTGTATGTAGTCAAACCAACACTATTTGTGAAAGCGCAATGTATTCTATATAAATCCTTTCATTTTCATGCATGACAGTTTGCCAGTCATGCTACTTAGAAGCACAATGGCAATAATTGCTTACAAGAATGCTGCTAGGGAAGCTAATATAACAGGTTTATTCGGGTCCAGCTGCCAGGCTGCTAGCCGAGAGAAAACTACTTGATCACATTCATTTCTTAATTGCTGATGCAACATGGTCACCGTCACCTGAGCACTCCCTGCCAGCAATGGATATTATAAAAAACCTGTTTCAATATACAACATTCGACCGCTTTTGAATGAGCGTATGCATGCATGTTTATTTGTGGGGTGGTGTTGCTGAGCTTTACAAAGCCAAGAGGTGGCAGCATATGTTTGCAAATGCTGCCTTCGCTTTAACATTGCTTTCATTTTTATTCAACTTTGTAATTTGGTGCTGTTAAATAGGCTTTAGTGGTGACGTAATTCATAGCAGGCTCCTCTGATTTTGGTCACTAGGGGGTGCTCTTTACCTAAAAATGATGATTCACTAAGAGAGAGAGTTGCAGAGGAGACCCAGAGCAGAAAAACGCCTTAGCCCTTAATGTGGTAGAATTGACCACAGACAAGGTAGTAGTAAACATCTATTTATATAAATGCCACAAGGAACATGGGCAGTTTAACAGAGCTTCTACATACAATTTAGAATCACTACATGCCTTTTAGGCCACAATTTATATTTTATTGTTAGAACTTTTGCTTAATAGGTTAAAATAAACAGCCCTGGAGCAAAATGTTAACATTTGCACCACCTGGGATCATGTTTTGATGTCACAGTAACTGGCAAGATTATGATTAAGACATCATTCAAATTTCTTAAGTAAAAAGTCATCATTTAAAGGAAGAACACACAAGAATATGTGTGTACAGCATGTATAATATCTCTGCCATATATCAGATGGCTGAGGATAAGGTAATGACATACATTTCTTGTTACTTTTCCATACTATCAAATTTAAGCAATAATTATTTAAGTACATAAAGGCAGTGCGCATCAAGGAGGCGTCTGATCGGTCTAAAATTCATTCTGCAGCATTACAACGACCCTAAATATATAACCAGAGTCATAAAGAACCATCTTCATGTGACTAAGAATAACGAGGAGTCCTGAACGAAATGACATGGCCACCACAGATCCCTAACTTCGGCATCATTGAGTTAGTATGGGATTACATGAAGAGAAAGAAGACACTGAGACAGTCTCAATCCACTAACAAGCACCTTGAAAAATTGTGCACAGTTGTGGCTAAGAGAACTGCTGCTGATTTAAAGGCAAAGTTTTTTCTGTTTACTGCTTTTTGTAGGAAGTTCATCGCAGTATTTTTGAAAGCAACCTCACTTTACTTTTAGTGCCTAAACCTTATGCATGGCACTGTATATGTATAAAGGAACAACTGCAGGTTATGTCTATTTAAGAATTAATGTCCCATTTTTGTACTAACTTTATTTTTGCATTCACTGTTGATGAAGAGTTTTGTGCGTGGAACTTTAAAGTCTAGGTTTAGGATTTTTCTCTCTCTCGTTTTGTCTCTCTCTTTCTCACTTTTTTTTTTACAGCATCTTTAATGTGTGATGTCAACTTCCTGAATTGCTCTCTTCCCGGTTTTTAAATGAAATGTGTCTGTGTGTGTGTGTGTGTTTGTGGGAGTGTGTCAGAGAGAGACTGAGGGAGAGGGAGGGAGGGAGATTATGGAATGCTGTGATGTCATCAGCTCAGTCACACACACACACAAAGACAAGGAGGACCCACAGGCGCTCTGACTCTCTCAGCTTAGTTAGCATACTCTGCTGTGGAGCGGCTGTCTACATCCCACTGTGAGTACTTCAGCAAATTCTACCCTTCTCTTACAACTCCCTTTTCTTTTGTATCACTTCCTTTCTCTCCTCACTTCCCCCCTTTTCCCGGGTTTCCTTCTCTGCACCCTACAGTGTGTTTAGCAGACACCAATCTGTGTTACACCAGTGAGATACTTCTCAGTCTGAGACAAGCTTTCTTTCCCTCCAAGTGCTGCATATGTGGTAGCCATTGTTTAACGACCCACTGTGATTGGAGGAGTCCATTTCAATCCCCTTGTAAGAGAAACCGGCTCACGGTGTCCTGGGCTATGACCCAGTGTCTGTGTGTGTGTGTGTGTGTGTGTGTGTGTGTGTGTGTGTGTGTGTGTGTGTGTGTGTGTGTGTGTGTGTGTCTTTTTTTTCTCTTACAACCTGAAACTGACCACGTTAAAACGAAGCCGCTATCTCATGGGATTATGGGGGAGAAAGGAACATGGGTTTGGGAAGGGATGTGTGCTAGGGAGGGGAAGGAGGGAGGGGTGGGCCACTGATGACAGAAACAGTCCCATTCCTTTGGAATCTCCTCCCATTTTGAGTCAGTGTCTCTGTCAGTTTAGAAACAGGGTTTGGGCTCTTCCGTATTCATGAAGGGAAGGGCAAGATAACCGACTGAAACTGAATTTCCAAAGAAGCAAAGTTTCTGATTTGATGAGAGAAAGGTGGTAGAAACATATAGAATATTGTAATCTTCAGGACACAACATACATAACCTTCTAAATGTTTGTTCAAAATGTTCTCTTTGTTTTTTTCTTTTTGTAGATTGTCCCAGTGATGACCTCCAAAGTCAAAGGAAACTGATATGTTAGTAGGGTGGGGAAACTGTCAGCACAACACAGAAAGGAAACAGGATTTTGTCTGTGTGAGTGTGTGTGTGAGTGAAGTGAGTGCATGTATGTGTGAGATTGTACAGTATGTACAACAGCCTGTGTGAGAATGAGCCTTGATTCATGAAGAAGGGTTTATTAGGGTAAATAAGATTGACTTGATGCTAAAGAAGCCGTGAAAGTCTTCGTCTGACGACATGAGACTATAAAACAACACTGTCCACTTCAAGAAGCTGCTGGTCAAAGCACAGCACCTCCTCCCTCTGACTGCTTTGCCAGGTGGTACCAAGTAAACCCACCATTCCGGCACCAACATGCTGCAGCAGATTTTACAGGACATGTACATTGACCCTGATGTGCTGAACGCTCTTAATGAAGACCAAAAAAAGACTCTGTTCCTGAAAATGCGTCAGGAGCAGGTGCGGCGCTGGAAAGAGCGGGAGGAAAAGCTAGAGAGAGAAGGGGGGGATGCAGATTGCAAGCGAACAAAGCCAAAAAAAGGTAACCATGCCAACGCATCACCACCACCACCACCACCACCACCTCACCTTTGTTAACTTTTCTTCTTCCTGTTTATCTAGTGTGACAGGGTACAGCTTCAGGTTTTTCAAGCATACTGACCGTCACACTTTTAAACAAAGCTTTTGACAGAAAACCATCTGTTCCCCTTTTAAGGATTACACGATGAATCCTTTCAGTCGAGATGTTTGCTTAGTGTGCTATGAATTACCTAATAGAGAGTTTTGAAGCTTGAGAAGCACAGTGCAGAAGCATGTGTGCATTGGCTGTGACAGACATCCAATGCTGCTGGATATAATAAAGCTGCTGCAGCTCATGTTTCCCGTCATCTCAACAGCTGTTTGCTAACACAGGCACAGCGTTTACCTGAAGTCCATGTGGCAAGTTTAAAGTTTCCTAAAATACAAACTTGGGCTAACAAACACCAGCTGCTCCATATTAATGTGTTTTGGAAATTGAGACTTGGAACAAGGATAGTACCTACATGCTGAATGATATAGAGACACAAACCAAAGACCATTTACACTTCACTAATATGAAGTTCTATTTATATCTCAAACTCTAAATAATTACAGCAGATTGATGATGCTGTTGAGTGAATGATAACATCACACTCACAGAGGATGTTAACATTTACACAAGCAAAGCAAAGAAAATGTCAGGATAAAATGGTATTCACTATGAGTGTATTGTAAGAGACATGGCTTAATAGTGCTAAAGAACTGCGAGTATGATAGGTCATCCAGGAAATGTTAAAGATTATGTATGTAGTCATGAATGTGAGGTATGTGGTAGTGTGTGTTCACACAAGTTTTCCTCTCAGGTGCTCACTTAGATCACTTTGTTCCCAGTCACATAACAAAATGTGAGCCTAAGACAACAGAGAAGAATATTTACTGGGTCACAGATGTCACTCATGTCTGGAATATGTGTTTGAAGGAAAATAATTAGCAGATGAAATGCAGGGGTAATGTGAATGGGTTTATCAGGAACTGGCTCCTGCTCAAAGGCAACAGTTGGAGTAACCAGTGTACATGCAGCAATCTAACTAACCAAAACAACAAGAAACTCAAGAGGCTGCAAGTCTGTCCTGAAACTGGTTTAGCGCATACTACAGCATCTTGCCTGTCTGCATTTTCTTTGGTGGTAGTGAGTCCTAGTGTGAGAAATAGATGGTATAATGACTTTGACATAATAAATTGCTTTACATAATATATTTTTATAATGAATTTTTATATTCCCAAGAAAGCCTTCTAGATGAAACCCACTGGAATATGATAAAGCCCATCAACATTACACTGCAGTTGGTGCATTAACTCTGATTGACATAGTAATGTGATCTTGGATAATAACAAAGCACTTACTATCAGCTGTGGTGCAGAGTGAGGGAACAGTGCTCTTTCTATCTCTTAATGACCAATGCAGCTGTCCTTAGGAGGCTGGATGGAGACTGCAGGCTGTGATCACATGGTCCCAACTGTTCTCCACACAGGCAATGCATCTGTAGTGCAGAGGAAATGGTGGATAGTTAGTGTTTCTGTGTAAAAATAGGAAGTGAGTCAGGACTCAATCCTTCAAACAATTAGTACAGGGCAAAACAGGAAGCATGCAGGAAATGTATGTGTTTGAAAAACAAAAATTTTTTGACTTTATCAGGATGGCCTTGTGGGAGAGCTCACATGCTAAGTTTGTTTTTATGCATAGAATGAGCCAGCGTCTCTCTCAGCTGTTGTTAACAGCTCAGCCTTTAGCCTTGTCTGATCATGGGAGTTTTGCTGTGGTTAGGCTGACCTTATTGTAACTGGTGTTTATGTACTATATAACTATATCCTGACCTAATTGTGTGCATGTGTTTATGTTGTAGGCAGACTGGTGACATTCACATGAGGCAGAGAAACAAACTGTATAACTCAGTGTAGAGTTTCTGTAACTTTTATATAACTTTTTTTGATAAGTAAGCTTTGTCTTGTTCTTCAGATATGGAAAACCCATTTCCTCTCATTTTCGAAACATTATCTGTTCATTTTGATGAAGCAGTGCACCACACTCCTTCAAGCTGCTTTTGAAATTGTGTTTTAACAATGTCTTTTATAGTAGGACCTTTGGCATACGCAAACACAATTAATATGATGTCTTCTAATTGTCTCCTACACCTGATAGTGTTGTTGTGGTGAAGTGGTCAGCTTGTTTACCAAAATATGTGATGGCTGCTGTCTTTTCATAGTCCTCCTGGTATGCCCTGCTGGAATGTGATCCACAGGGCAGGCTGGCAAAACCAGTTCACTATGAAAGTATGTTATTCTGTTTCCCACCCAACAAGCTCTCACCCTCTGAGCCTGCGTCAGCTGGGTTATCGCTATAAAGTAGCTTCTCTGTGCTCCCAGACAAAGTCACAAGGCAGAAACATGTTTGTATGTGTGTGAGCGTGTGTGCCTTTGTGCTTCTAAGCTTATGAAGACAATGTCCTAACAAAGACAGACAGATAATTAGAAGTCAAGAGAGCATGTGACACAAGATCTCATTTATTGATATTTCTTAGGGTAGGAATTTGGGCTGGGTTTAAGGCAGGAATTAAAAGATTATTTCATGTATATACATACATATTTATCTGTGTGTGTGTGTGTGTGTGTGTGTGTTTGCAGGGATAGGCCAGCAGGACAGGGGTTTTCCCTGTCAACTCTGTTTATATCATCTATACAAAGGTGCTGTCTCATACATTTGCGAAGTGCTGCTTGGGCACCAGCTGTTGCTCCTGGCTACCTGTCTATCTATGAATCTGAAAAGCAGCATCAACTTATCAGATGCTGATGAGCTGACAGTTTCCCTTCAGAATGACCAGAGCTACAACTGATTAACTCAGAGATCTGGAATACTTATCAATACATTATTTTGAAAATGGTTGTTTACAAACTATAACTGGTATTTCAAAATCCTGAGAAGGTGAAGGAAAGTACAATTTCTAATATTTGACAAAACTGAGCAATGTTTGGCCAATGACTGAAAATGATACAAATTACATTTTTTTTTAAATGCTATGATTAAGTATGTCTTTTCTGCAAAAATATTGAGTGACTGATGTTTGAATTTAGAACCACTTTCAAATGTTCACATAGTGTTTCAATAGCCTGTTAACTCATAGTTTGCATTTGTGTGTTGTTTCCTGCAGCCAACAGTAAGAATGTGAGCTGGTTGCTTGGCCGGGATGGAGATGTGGCGGTCATTGTGATCGGGGAGATGGATGAGCTGAGCTCCAAATTCATCTGCTCAGGATTTGGAGAAAAGAAGGCGCCGAGTCTTCAGAACAACACATAGTAATACACTTTTGTAATATACCAGCAGTGACTTGTGAGATTACAGACTATTAGTGTTGTTTAGAAGAAGGGGTTATCAGGGGTTTCTGTTGTTAATTTTACTATGACATAGAATTATGCATAGGTGACAAATTAAAAGAAAAACCAACATAAAGTGTCTAAGTAAGGAGTGTAAGTAGTAAAAAAAACCATACCAGCAAAATGTACCCCACAGCATAACAGACACCGCATCCCCTCATTGTTAGGGTCAAAAATTCAGGCCTGCAGCATTCTCTAAGTATACACCACACCATGCACTCCCCCAAATTGTGGATAATATGGTGAAAGATGACCTATCTCACTATATAAGTTTTTTCCCACACATCTATAGACCAGTGCCTATGGGTGTTTCTGCACCACTGAACTCTCCAATGTGCATTCATCTTTGTTATTAGGGATTTATGTGGTGCAACCCTACTGTAATATCCCTCTCTAGATGTAATTAATGTACTATTCTTGCTGATGTAGTCAGATAACAACCTGCTTTGACATTCTCAGTAACCTTTGGAAAGTTAGTGAGAAACCTAAAAAAAAAGGTTTCTCCACTCATTTATTCAAGTTTTTCTTATAATATGTCACCTGTCTGTATACTGTGCTGTAGACGGACGTAACCTCCGTGACGTCACCTATTGGTTTCTGAGGAGCGCTTGGGCTCCCCACCGTCGCCATCTTGACAGTGCCAAACTCCGCCTAAATCCCGGCTAATCCAAAACAAGGCAAAGAGGTGGGGCGTGTGCGGCGCCGAGCCTTTGGTACATGCCGGTTTAATAACCTTGCAAGCAAAAGCTCCCGTTAGCATCGTTAGCAAAGCTGTGCGCCTGGGCGTCTTGCTGGAAGGCTAACCCACGGCTAATGTATTTACTTGCTAATTAGCTAGTACACGAGCTAAGCTAACAAGTCGGGTATGGTGAGCACATATGTCAATACTTGCTAATTAGTGCTAACACATAAATAAAATAATACTGTAACTCACCTCAGTTAACAGGAGCACGGACTTCCTTATGTTATGTTAGTCAATTAACCGCACAACAAACATATTTGTCTGATATTTGCATGGAAAATCCTCCAAAAGGCACCAACGACATAGTGACTAAAACTACCAGAAGTGACGCCGAGCAGACAGCTAGCTGCTACACACAGAGCGGCTAGCCAACTCTCACGGCACCCACCTGTCACCAAAAGCGGCCACGCCTTCAATTATGCATTATTATAGCCGTAATAAAATTTAAACAGGTGAGTTATATAAAAATTCACCCATCGAACAATTGTCATGAAGGGGAAAATTTGCTATAGAGACCAACCCCGTTTTTTTGTGCCAGGTTGTACACATATTTATTTCTTCAGTAAAGTTGGGCATTTTAACATGGGAGCCATGAGGATTGACTCGCCTTTGGAGCCAGTTACAAGTGGCCATTCGAGGAACTGCAATCTTTGGCACTTCCGTGTTGGCGTCATTTTTCAGCCCTGGAGTTTGCCTCTTGGACTGTATATGTAAAGAGGTATGACATGTGTCTCATTATGTTTCACAGCCTTCAAACTATCTTGAAGAGCAGAAAAACCACAGAACCTGTCAGAAATGAGAGAGAGAACCTTCCTCCTAAAACACAATCTGGAATCTCACTGAATTTAAAGGTGTGTAGCTGTTTGATAGATTCCATACTTTTATTTATGTTTTTTTCATGTGAAATTATTGTCTCCTTGGTTAGGTATAATTTTATCAAACAAAGAGATTCACTTGTCTGTGCGATCAGCTTGTATCAGTCTCCTGTCATATCCCTTTGTGCTGTCACCTTCACTTCCTAACTGATTCATTGTCTCATCCCCTCAATTGAACCCCTCCATCTCTAACATAACATTTCCATCACTTCATTTCCACTTCTCTTACCTGCAGTGCAATTTGTGAAAACTATCAGTTAGGCTGTTGAGCATAGCTGGTGACAATCAATCTCCCCCATTTTAGATTTATCTAGCTCTAATTTTAGCCTTTTTCTGTCAAAATAGGCACTCAGAGAAGATCATTTCCAGGGTTGTGATATATTTGGGTGTGTGCGTTTGTGTGCGCAGTTGGCAGTGTGTGAGCTGTTGATTTTGGAGCTGGAGGGGTGTGTGTGTGGGGGGGGGGGGGCTCCTTTTTTCACGCTATCTTAAAAAGAGATTTGCTGCGTTGTCATGGCAACCTTGCACACATTGAGCCAGAGCAAGCCGGGGTGGATGGTCTCATCTGGCCTGACCACGACGGTGCTCTGAGCTGAATCTGCAAGCTGCTTACTCAGTGGAAATAACTAGCACCCTGGCTAGTCACTGGTTTTCCCGCAGTCACATTACCACACCCCCTGCACGAATATGTTTTCAAATACTTATCATTTGCTATATTCTTTTATTTGACTAACTCTTCCCCAACTCTTAAACTCTTGCTCTCTTTTCCCTGCTCATTCCAAGCTCATACTGAACTGACTCAAAGTTAAGGAGGATGACGTGTCACCTCTAGTATCATCTAACATGGCACTGTCTCTCCCAACAGGGGAAATGTGAGGAGACAAGCACTTCACTCCCTCTGCCGGTGAGTTCAAGCAACTGCATGCTATAATTGAGCCCTGTGCTCTCGGGTTGCATCATGGCCTGTAACACTCATGTAATGTCTCTGTTAAACCCACAGGTGTCAGTGAGTGAGCATTCATCACTTCCAGCAGCAGAAAAGGTATTTGTGAATTAAAGTCATTTTTGAAGATTGTTGGTTTGTATTGTTCCTGCAGTTCAGTTAGGGCTTTCAAAATGTTTTATTGCTTTTCGTATGAATTAGAGATTTTTTTTAAGGCAAAGAACAGTTTATTTTCTAGTGCCATCTGCACTGACCAACACATTTTAAAACACAGCCTCAAATATCCCAGCAGGGTGTGATTTACAACACAGGGATCCACTCCTCAGCTTCTTGAAATGTGGCTTTAGAGTGCCGACGTGTTTTTTCATGGCAGTCCCACCACCCTCTGTGAGTAACAGGAAATGGTGGTTAGGCCAGCTGTCCCCTCACTCCGAGCCTCTGTGCAGATCATCTTTCTCCCAGCATTCTCCCTCTCCGTGCGCTGTCACGTCTGAGCTGCCGCACCCCTCATAGCTCTCTCTGGGGAACAGCTGAACTGAACTGTCCTCCCACTGGCTCCATCATCGCTCCAGCCTTGGGTTGTCGGGGGAGTGTGTGCTCTATCTCCTCTCTCTTTCTTCCTCTTTCTGTGTTTATGTGCCCGTGAGTGTGTGTGAGTGTGTGTGTGTGTGTGTGTGTGTCTGTGTGTGTGTGTGTGTGTCTGTGTGTGTGTGTGTGTGTCTGTGTGTGTGTGTGTGTGTCTGTGTGTGTGTGTGTGTGTGTGTGTGTGTATGCAGGTGACACGCGCTGCGACAACAGCTGAATCACAGAAGCAAGGCAGGATTTCTGGACTGCCCTAGAACAGATGGTTGATGAACTTGATCAGGGAATTAAAACGCCAGAGATAGAGAATGCGTCAGTCGCAGATGGATGGGATTGTGGGATAGTCTCCTGAGGTTTGGGCGCGTGAGCTCTCCTCTGTTCTCTGGTTTTCCCTCCTCTTTGCCACAGAAGGAAATGTCTCTCCCTCACTTCTTGTATCTACACCAGACACTCTATATTACAGGCCCCAACACATCTCTGGCCAACCCATGCTGATGTGGCAATGAACATTCACACCTTTGGAGGTTTGGACAGTCTGACAGCCAAGAATTCACAATCTAAGCCCCCCCCCTCCCTTTACAAGATTCATTATTTTGTTCAATGCCTTGTTTGTAGATTGAATGATTTCTTCCTGGAAACAGGAAGGGTCTGGTTTGTTGCTGCAGATGTAGCGGTGGCTGTTGCTAGCGCTGCTGCAGGTTTTCTCCAGTTGATTTAGAGAGGGAAGGAGTGAGTCTGATAGAGGAGGAGATTGAGATTGCTGATTAAGAAGGCGTAAGATCAGAAGGGAAGATTAGCAAGGCAGCTTGATTTCCAAGTCACCTTATAATTTTCTCTCCGCACATCCTTAAACTCTTAATCAGTGGTCATAGTTCTGTGTGTTTCATTATGGTGCAGTGTAGTCACTGGAGAACTGTAATTTGGTGAATCATTTATCCAATGATTTAATCAAACATGACAGTAATTCCACTGTATGTGAATTAGCTGTCAACACTGATCGCACTCGTCTGTCCTTTTTTGTCACTCTTCCCTCTGCAGCCCGAGCTGAAGTCAGCCAGTGCGACTGTGGACAAGTCAGTTCCCCAGCCCTCCATCTGCTCCAGGCCTCCCGTGAGAGTTAGCCCTGTCAACGTGAGACCAGCTTCAGCAAATGCGGCACCAGGCTCTGTCAACACGAGACCCGGGCTCACAAATCTGAGGCTGGCCACTGCTGCGCCGTACTCTTCCCCCAGCAGTACAGTCAAAATAGACTCTGGAACCACCAAGAGGGTCCTGTGCTCACAGGAACCTCGGAAGCCCCAGGAATCACAGGGTGGGAACGGTGAGTGAGCATAGCATCATGGGTAAGGGTACATGTTAGGTCAAAATAAATAAATAAATGTATTTTTATAGACATGTTCATAAAATTTTTTGTCCATTTCACGAGGGAGTATTTATTCCAGTCCCCGCTGTCTTTCTCTTGTTGGCTAATTAAGAGAGATACATGAACAGCAATATTAACGGTGTCATCATGGATAAACACAGCTAATGGAGACGTCGCCTGAAATTTGCATATGCATAATTCTTACTGTATAACTTCTGTTATGTTTTTGAGCGAGATAGACTGGACACAGGCGCAGACACAGACATGGGTTGAAAATTAAGTCATTGGCGTTGTAGATCACTTACAAGAAAATCACACACAAGCCACTGAGCCAACAAGAGAACCCTTTTCAACTGCTTCTTCTCTTCTCTGAGAGTAATAATGGCTGTGGAGAGCTGAGCACAACCAGTCTGAACAAAGTTCATACTAGATGGGCTTCTCAGTGCTGCAGCAAGGAAGAAGGATTTATTTCCCCAAACCTAATGTGCTCGCCAAATAGTGCCTCAGCCCGCTGGAATCTTTATGGACTGGCAGAGTAAAAAGAGGCCAGTCTAGAGGGGAAAAAGCTTATATGACTGGGATTTGTGTGGTTGTACCACATCGCCCCGGCACACCTGCCTGTTCGGTAGCTTCTCTATTGTCATGGGTGTATGTTAGAAGTGGCATTGCCAGTAAACACTCTAGATCGATTGCGGTGCATGGTTAAATAACCAAATCAAATTTGATGTTAGAGAACAGACTGATATAATATGCAACACTGGTCCTTCAGAGCAATATTACATGATAACTTGATTTAAATGCAAGCCAAAATGAGTAATAGAAGACTAAAATAACTCTGTCTATAAAAGTCATATTTTTAGTTACTGTTAATATTTAACTATTAAAGTGAAAATAGTTATAGTTATTTGGCATAATTTAGTGTGTACTTTATTCCAAAACCATAGTATAATGGAACCCTTCATTCGCTTTATATTAAATGGTGGGTTAACAGTATCAGATCATTTTACAGAAATAAAATATCTTTGTAGCACTTCTTATTTTTCCGCTAGTTTAGTTTAGTAACATATATAATACCAAATGGATGATTTTGACATTGTTTAGGATACACACAAAGAGTTGCATGAGAAATTACTCCATCAGTTTACTTTTTGAACTATTGGATCTTTATTAGAGTTTGTACTGTTCTAACACTGTGTTAGAGCAGGTATTTGCCATGATGGCAAACTAGTTTTTATATTTTATTAATTTTTTCACAAACCAGTGAGATGTTGTATCTGTCTTTTTGTTCCTCTCTTTGTGTCTGTTATGCGGTCTGTGCTACTTGCATATCTCTACCTATGTCTATACAGATGTTCACTGTGTAGACGGAAGGGATATTTTCAGACTTGGAAGTTTTTTTTTTCATAACAGATATCTTGGGCTTGGACATGAATATGATTGCCACTAGGTCTTACAGTATGTTCTGCAGATGACAAGAGTGAATCTTGTTTGAACTATCGTTGTGATTCCTAGACTTCCTGCCTGAGCACAGCACCAAATTTCATGAATTGACTAACACTCATTCACCATACAGTGACCCAGTTATGCAGAAAAATGGAAAGTGTAAGGGTGAAATTAGCACCATCCAGTGGAAAACAGTGATACTGTAGAAAAAAAGTCTAGTTGGATAGAAAACCTCATCATCTCCATAAGGTCCCTCTGCTGGAAAAATGCTCATCCTACATCTAAGTTAGGGAACACGATCATGCATATACACTTTACCCTGCAACATGTCCATGAGTTTTCTCAGTTCGGAAACAGCAGAGAACCTTACAAGCAAAGTCAAATTTCTCCTCCAGGGTTTGAACATTTGGGGGGAAGAATTCAAGAAAACTGTATTTATTTATTTACTTATTCATTTTATTCCTTTAAACGCTGATTGTGAGAGTTTGATCAGGCCAATGCCATGTGTTACTGTAGTTTGAAGTGAATGCAGAATTATGGAAATTGAGAGTTAAATTGTGATAATGTGAATCTCCCGTTATAATGACACAATGAGAGACAGTAGCCTACCTGAAGGATGACTGTCTGTTGTTTTTTTTTCCTCCCTCTCTTTACTGTCTGGTTCATTCTGAACATTCCTGGCAGTTCCATGTAGATTTTGGAGGCCGGGCTAATCTCTCCAAAAGCCAGACACAGGAAGGCTAACAAGCTCTTAATAATGTCATGAAGAGACAAAAATCCTGGAAATCATTTTGAAACCACGTTCGCGGCTTATTACCTGAACTGAACGCTGAATGTCAGAATCAAACCACGTTTTAAGAGAATTTCTGCTCCTATTCTGTCAAGTAAAAAAAAAAAAAGTCTGTTTGGAGGCGTGTGCGGTGAGCTCAGATCTTTTAACTGACCAAATGACCAAAAAACCTGGATATGAAAAAGAAAACAAAAAACAAAAGATATAATTCCAATAAATTGAGGTTGCACAGGCGTTTGTGTGTGTGCCTGCGCCCACATTAGTGACTGGATATGAGATCAGTGGGCAATGCCAGGGCAGCAAATAACAGGCGAATGGAGGGAAGAGGAAAGAAAGGGAAAGGGAAGGGAAAGGAACAGCTGGTGTGGTGGGAGTTGAGGTGGGCTGAACACAGTGCTGAATAAATGTGTCTTGACTCTGGACAAAAAAATACTGACAGAGTGTCTGTTCTTGACAATGGCAGGAAGCTCGGTCCGGAGGGGGGGGGGCAGACTAGGATAAGGCTCAAGCCTCAGCTGTTTTCTTTTGAATGTGGTTAATGACGAGGATTCCTGCATCCTGTGAGCAGCAAGTGTGGCCCACGCAACACTTGTAGAAGATGAACTTAATAATCTGCTGTCGTGCATTTAGCCGTTGAAGATAAACTAAACCTCCCGACTTAAGAATTCAAGACGTTGTACATAAGATTGAACAGTAGCGCATGACAAATACTAATAGTTGTTTTTTGTGTGTGTCACCAGAGAGGATAGGGTAAAAGGTATTACCAAACAAACTGTATCAAGTTCTGAATATTGTCAAGATGTAGTTGTCACATCTCATGAAAACAACAAGTAGGGATGAGTAATCTCAAATTTGGGAAAGTGATGTGAGACTTTTTCGCATGGGACAGAATCAGCTTTTAATCTTATCTGAAGTTATTTTTGCTGTTTGAAATACAGGATTCAAGATAGATTAGCTTAAGAAAGGATTACACTTGCTTTTAATATTAAAATGTATTATTTGTCTAAGGATATTTGGATAATTACAAAACAGATGAAAATCAGATTTAGAAAATATTACAGTATAGAATCAAAAATCTGTGTAAACAGCTCATTTAAAAATTACCTTCTGAATGGCAACCACTGTCCACTAGTAGTAGTTTAATTAGTTACTCTGTGTAAATGATCTGATAATTACCACCCCTTTTTCTTTTTTCTCTTCAGTTTCTACTACCTGAAGCATTTTCTGTGCTGTCAAAGTCAAGAGACCCTAATTTAGAGCAAACTGGAAAGATTAAAATTGTCTTTTAGCAGGAAATAATTTGGGAATGAGGGGGAAGAAATTTTGCATTTATATTGATTCATATAATTCTACTCTATCCACAAAACCAGATATTTTTTTTTTATTGAAAATTGTTAGAAACTGAACATGATGGCAGCTAACTTGGATAATATGTTAAAAGTTGTGGGTCGTCCGCATAAAAATGAAAGTGAGCGACATGAGAAATGTTTCAGATAACCGGGGGAGTGTGTAGAGTCGGTGTAAGAGTCTGCAACTGAACCTAGAGATGCAGAAATGTGTGTTGCGTTAGCGTGTGTCATGATCTGAGCATGAGTGCATGAGCATGAAAGCGTATCAAACTCCAGCAGCTGGCGGTGTATGAGATAATGTGTATGCGTGTGTGTGTGTGTGTGTGTGTGTTTGTGTGTGTTCATGTTTATAAACCCTTCTCTGTCTGTCGGTCGGCTTTCCTCTCCTCTCTCTTCACCTTCAGAGGGAAGGACACACATTCCAGCACTGCTTCCCGACTCTAGCCCTGGGCGACGCTCAGCCAGAGCTGATAAGTGACAGGGGCCCCAGCCCCCACACAGAAGCCCCCCACCCCCCCAACACACACACACACACACACACACACCTCCTCTCCTCCCTGCCCTTCAGTCCACAGACGTGCTGCTCGGGAATTCTGCCCTCTGCCCCACTTCTGTCCCCCCACCTCCCCACCCCAGCAGCCCCCCGCCCTCCTCCTCTCTTTCTGCCAGAGAGACGTGGAGGTCTTTAAAGAGATAGATTGGTCTTTAATTTTTGTGCTAGCCTGGTCAGTGACACTGCTTCCCGCCCCCTCCTCTTTGTCCTCCCTGTACATTTACGAGCTGGACTGAGATGCGAGGAGTGGCGTCCGAAAGCTCAGATGGGAGATTAATCAATCCTGACGACGAGCGCTTTAATGCAGAGATTCTCTTTCGTTTTAATAGGTGTTTTTGCAGGTAGCTTTAATGATTGTTTCTGCTGACGGAGCTAAGAGTGCAGCTGCTGAGGAGAGTTACAGGCAGAAAGGCGTTGGGTTTGAGCATTTTTTTAGGTGTGTTAAGACAGGTTAGTCAGGTTCCTGTGGGAAGGTTTTACTTCAGTTGCTCTCAAAAGATTCAAATAGGTATATATATTTGTATTAGTTCTTTACAACAGTCCATGCCCATAATACCAGTTCTCCCTGTCCTTTCTATCTCTGTCTCTCTATTAAGCATTCCACTCAGACCTGCACCAAGGCTCTGAGCTCAAAAAACTCTCTGACCATGAGTGTGTGTGTGTCTGTGTCTGTGTGTGCACTCGGTGCGTGCCTGAATGTGTGTTAGCCTCAATTGCTGGAGCCTATCCAAGGTTTCCGTGGTGACCACACAACACAACGAGACAATCAGAGGCAAGCCCACGCAGCGCAGCGAGAGGACATTAACGCAGGAACCGCGGGTCAGGGGGCAGAGGAAGGCAGGGCAAGACAGAGGGAGAGGAAGATGAGGAGGAAGGTAGGTGTTAGAGCCACAGAGAGAGGGGCGGGAGAGAGTGAGGGCGAGGAGAGAAAGGAGAGTAAACAACAATAAACAATAACACCACCTTAAAGGCTACTTTGGGTCTCTCCCTTTCATGCCTGCAAGACATCAAGAGCTCTAAAGGTTTCCTGGCCCCAGGAGTGCCTGTGTGGTTTTGGCTGTACCCCACCTCTGTGTGTGTGACTCTGTGCTGTGCCGTGGTGTTAGTCAGAGATGGCTGCATGCGTGACTGAATCCATGAGCAGGAGGGCTGTGCGAGGGTGCATGCTTGTGTGTGTGTGTGTGTGTGTGTGTGTGTGTGTGTGTGTGTGTGTGTGTGTGTGTGTGTGTGTGTGTGTGTGAACATGCATGGACCTGAATGAAACGTGAGATTGTGTGTGTGTCTTTTGAAATTCAACTGTTAGAAACTGTGTGCACGTTTGTGCCTGTTTTTACTTTACTTTGTGTGTGTGTGTGTGTGTGTGTGTGTGTGTGTGTGTGTGTGTGTGTGTGTGTGTGTGTGTGTGTGTGTGTGCGCGCGTCTTCAGCCGTGCACGCGGGTGCTCTCACATATCTCTGTCCCCCGGGGATGACGCTAAAAATATGTGGCTCCTCAAGCCTTCTGGTGTCTGAGCAGCGTCTGTCTGCTCTCCATTGCCGTCCCTGTGGCCCTCCCTCCCCTCCGTTACTCCTGTTCCCTCCATTCCTCCCTCAATTACACCCTCTTCCAACACAGTACATCAGCAAGCACACACACACACACACACACCAACTACACCCAGCTGTGTCCCTACTTCCACTGAGGATGACCTCTGCTCAGCCAGAGTGGGATAAAGGGAGGCGAATGAAAAAGGGGGGAAAAAAAGGTAGAAAAGACTGAAGAAAGATCGAGGCACAATATTTGGAGAGGGGAAATGATCAGGTAGTGTAGAAGAAGACTGAATTCCTGCTTTTACAACAGTAGCACACAAGGGTTGTACGTCTAATTCTCATTACTAATTATTTTACCGATTTTCACTGAAAAGATAAAAGAGATTTTCACCTTGATTTTATGTTCTCAAAAGGACACGTTTCCTGATGCAACAAGACACTGATCAATGTAGTTTACAGTAAACAAGGTCGCCTTGTGACAGGTGTGGCCCAGAAAGTCATCTAATCATACAGAGTGAAAAGAAAAATTGAGAGGAAATTTGACAATACAGTTTGTGGTAGATACAGAGTGAAACACTTAGAAAATGAGACTGCGCATGATAAATAATAAACCTCAATAACAATAAGTTACAAATTAAATACATGAATTTATATTAAGCATTAAATACAGTGCATTATACACCCAGTTTTGAAATATTCACAATAAACACTCCTATTCCATTTTAGTTTTTAATGCCCATGCATGGCAGGCAGATTGTTGGAGCTCTTAAGGAAATCTCATCCTCTCTTTTGTTTTTTTTTTTATTTTTTTTTATAGATGTTGGTGCATCAGAAGTGTCTCGGAGGGCGGCCTCAGAGGAGGCCGGGTCATCAGGGAGCGCGCCAACCTGCGCAGGGCGTGGCAGGGTGGCTCAGCTGATGAAAACCTTCAGCGCTGAAAGCGCTACGACCCCCTCACAGACCCCCTCTCGCGGCATCAAGCCTCCTCTCCCCACCAAGCCAGGCCACTTGCGTCTAACGACCACACCTACTGTCAGGTAATCCATACACACCGATGCACAGATGCCCACCCGGTTTCACGCATCCACGTCATTCAAAGAAAGCCAAACTGGACAATACCGGACATGTATTGTGAAGCATCATAAAGCATAATGGGATGGAGAACTGTAAATGTGTCCCAGAGAAATGGTAATGCTCACAGTGTTGCTATCACTCCCAAAGTTTAGCAGTGGAAATGCTTGAACGTAATGGTTCTTTTATTTTTGATGCTGCAGTACTGTAAACACTCTTTGTGGGGAAGAAATTCCAAAGCAATTGATTGCAATTGAATATTTGTTTTGTTTAACAAACAATTCTTCTACCTTTTATGTATTTGCCAGGGAATTGATGACTATCACATGTATTCACTTGTTGCTGATTCTTTCCACTTTGTGTAACATGTGGAAAAATACACCCTCATTCTCACACACAGTTTTTAGTCCAATTCACAAAGCCTGTGCACACAATATTGTTTACTTACAAATTCCTTTATTTTCATCTATTATGAGACAGTTTGCATTTGCGCGTGTCAGTGTTTCTCTTTTAATTTCTGTCTTCTTGAATGAAAGAATGGGCTTGGGCAGGCAGAATGGGGTGAAATAAGGTACAGTAGGGTCCTCCTTCATCTTGCTGTCTTCTCCCTGGGAATAGTGTAGGGTTGTTTATTTGTCACAATGCAATGTATGTCTCCCTCTGCCACCTGGCAGGAGCCTCACTGCGACCTGTTGTGGACCAATGACAGTGCCAAATGCCTCATCTGTCACTCCCAGTGGATCAAATCCTGGCAAGTTAGACAGTAGCTGCCAAATTATCCAGCTCTTACTCTTCCCCAGTTTTTTTCAGTTCTATTTTAGAGATTTGTGGTTGCATTTTGTTGTTTGTTTTTTTTTTTGTTTTTTTACATTTTCTATAGGGAGAAAGATGTTTTGTAATGGGATATTTAACGCTTCTACAGTGCTCACTTGTAAAATGAGAGGCATCTTTATCATTGATGTCAAGTTTGTATGGTGAAATCAAAGAAACAATAAAATTGTATAAATTTTACATCTTGTATCTCAAAAAATCAACTTTTTTTTGTGTAGTTTCTCTCTCTCACTCTTTCTGTCTCTGACTTCTATCCGTCATAATTCCAAACTGAAGTAAAACATCTTTCTCCTGTCTTGTAGCTTACAGAGGGCAAACATTTTAAAATCAACCATCCGGAACAATATTATAATCCTTTCAACCGCTGTGATCACCTTTGCATACCAACCCACAACACTGAGATGCTGCACAATTTGCAGATAGTTATATAGTTATATGCACCTTTTGAATGTGCTTCATCAGCCCCCCACCCTTCACCCGCCCCCCTCCCAAAGCTTGCTATTACTGCGCTCAGACAGTTCTTGCTTAATTTCCAGCAAAACAGCTCCCCGAGCTTGTAAATGGCATTTAAATATTTGCCGATGCTAAAATTGTGTGGCATATTTTCACATTTGTATCTGGGATTTCCATTGCAGATTGCATTAAATGTTTGGCAGCTGGCTAATCTGTTTAAAGAAAATCTCCACTGTAACAAATAAAAGCAACAGCGTTGTATGAACTGATGCATCACTCAGTGACTTATGATGAAGCGATAAGTGCCCCATGCTGCTGTACATAATCTTCATTAACAAAATGAAGACATCATGTAGTCTTTGCTTGTCACGGCAGAATAAAGTCAATTTCATGAAATGCAGTTATGGGTGTTGGAGAAAAAGTACCTATCTCATAGGAGCTATAGGATATGATATATAATTGAAAAATCATACATTTCCTACTTGTGAATGGCTTTTCAAAGGAGATAAGATCCATACGCATGCACAAACACACATTATTGCACACGTGTCCACTCTGTTGTATGGAAACACGGAGAGTATGGTGGTGTTTCATTGCACTACAATGGTAACAGTAGACCTGCCATGTAATACACTTACACAGTGCAGTAGGGTGCAGGATTCACTCCATTCTCTACAGGGGACATTATGTAAGTCTGCATGTAGCATGTGTTAACAGAACAGGCTGTTGCAACAATAGTCAATTGTGTGGTAGTTTCTTAGGAGTTCAGACGACAGCAATTTATCTAGACTCTTTTCTCAACAGGCTGCATTCACAAACTCACACACTTGTACTATCACCATCGCAGTGTTTTTCTTTTGAGCAAGCCTTCACAAGCATCATTACCAGTTATGTTTTGGTCGGGCTGAATGGGTGAGTATTCTATATCTGGAACCAGATGTGCCTCCACTTGACCCACAGTTCACATCCTAAAAGAGATTCCTTTTTGGCTGTTGTTGTTTTCAATTCATTCATTTCATTAAAAGCACCTCGCAGAGACAAACTGCTCCCTTTATGAATGCAGTGTTTGTTGTATTGCAGTTTTTCAACAATTCTGTTTAAAACACCACTTACCTGATGTATGAAGATTAGCTGTGCACTGAAGTCATCCTCATGTTTCATACAAAAGATCCTATTCAACATGATATACAGTATGATGGACTACTCGAGATAGCAGTATATATATTATTATATTATTATAAACTCCCAGGAAATAGTGAAAACTCGCAGTAGAACCGCTCAATAGCTGTATAAAAATGAAACAAAATTATATATCAAAAATATTTTTTAAATGCTGGATCTAAAACATGTTGATGGTCGATGTAACGAGGGGTAAAAGTGTGTCATGTTCACTTCTCCAGTTCACATTTCCCAGCTGGGGAAACATATCTTAAAGTCAGGCTGGAAACAGTTTTATAACCATTACATTGCTGCCACTCAATATAGTCTCTTGGTGGAGAACAGCTAAAACCTCACTTGTATTACATTTAAAAAATCCTAACACCATGGCATGCGTAAAGTCATTACTTTCTTTGAGTGAAACGCGTATGTACCTAAAGCATAAGCAAAGACACAATGGTTAATTCTTTCTAAATGCCCTGTCAAAGCCTCTTTTGATCCAGTTGAAAAAGACCAGCAAAGCTACTCTTGACCCAGTCTCTGTGTCGTTTCACAGACAAAGTGATAAGACTCTGGAGGCAAAGCATGCGTTGAAAACAATGCACTGCTGTCCAAATACACATGGATCTTGTTGTATCCGTGTGGGCCCACACAGAGGTAGGCACCAGTGTCACTGTCAGACAGATGTTCACTTGTAAAAAAAGGTTTAACAAACAAGGCAGCAGGGAGCCCACATACCTACAGCACACATATACATGTACTGTTTACAGTCAAACTTACAGAAGGCTACTCATGTTGAAGATTCACAGCATAGCACAAGGTGACACGCATAAGGCTGAACTTCTGTGCACATGCTGGTGCTTGTGCAATGTGAAAAAATGAAAAAATGCTGTAGCACGCGACTGTGCGATGCCGCCTGGATCTCTGTCTCCCAATAAGCCCAACAATGGCTGTGGCTGTTCTCTGATGAGCAGAGACATCGTCGGGCAGTTTCCAGGAGATATCTGTGGCGAGTCCCTTGGTATGCCCACCCCACGCCGCCACCCCCCCCACCCCTTCTGCCCCACACACTTCTCCTCTTCATCCACCGAGCCTGGCCACTGCTGTCGTCAGGGCCCTCCGACGGGAGATAAAAAAGAGGCTGTTGTTGTCTCCTTGCAGGAGAGATGGACGCCTGTTTCTCTCTCTCTCTTTTTTTTTTCCTGCCTCACTCGCTTCACACCCACAGAAGGGGAAGTGAAGAGGGAAGAGAGAAAAAAAAAAGTGTGGAGGAAAGAAAGAAAGCTATACTGCGTGCTGTGGTGTTCTACCACACCACCTCATGCCTCCCCCCCCCCCCCCTCCGCCCCCCTGGTTCCACAGCCTACCTAGCCCCATCCAAGCTACCCCCAGTAGAGAGAGAGAGAGAGAGAGAGAGAGAGGAGAGGAGGGAGGGGGGCCAGGGCCATGTGATACGGAGAGCATGCGGGCACAGCTTCACCCCCAGGCAGAATGAACGGGGGCCTGCTGTGTCTCTCCTGCATGATTAATCTGGCTGAGGGGCAGGAGGACTGCCACAGCCCTGCCTGCATTAACTCCCTACTCTCCAGTCTGCATGAACACACACACAAACTAACACACCAGCGGTAGACCGATGGTCAGACACAGGTTGATGTACACCACTAGTACTGTGTGTGTGTTTTGCTAGTAAAGAATAGTGGCTGGCGCTGAAGTGGATTCCTATTGAGGTATCAGATTCTGGCCCCATTAAGTTTAACTGTATACTTGTCTTTTGCCAAGGGCAGCGTCTCGCTGTCGTTTATGCACTGACACGACACTAATCCTTCTGCATGTCGCCAAACTGTAAAGAGCACCTTGATGTGAGGCCGTTCAATAGTGTTGGTTTCTGGGTAGTTCTGGGTTTCTGTGACTCATCCTCTCATGTGACCTCTGTCTCCCAGGCAACATTGTGGATGTTTTCTGGTGCTGGTCTTGTCTTTTGTGTAATTCATATGAGGCAGATGGTCCAGGAAATGTGGCTTACTCTTCCAGATTCTCCCAGACAAAGAGTATCTGGCATGTGATGGTCAAATTTTCAAATCACCATGACAGCTTCTGAGGATTGCGCAGCAGGCCTGTCTTATTGTCTCACAGTATTACACTCAGCTAATGTAGACATGATACCGGAAAATAATGTATACTGTAGCCGTCACTCCCACGGCTGGCAGGACTGATTTCTTCCATAAGATGTCCTGGAATGTTTTAGCCCTGAACCGCTGTAAAGCAGGAAGTGCTGTGCGCAACGGGTATTGTGCAACAGTGGAGACCAAGCATCAAAAGGCAGACAGAGGGTTAACATCCTGCAGTCCGCACCACATTAACTGGAAAGGAATGAAGTGTCAAGCATGTTTTCACCACAGCGAGACGGTCAAAACCCTACCCCCTCCTCCTCCCACCAACCAGTCACCCCTCAAACCTTCTCCCCCACATCACCCATACGCCTCCCACTCCCAACAACCTCCCACAGCCATGACCAAATTATTTTCCAGCCTCCCGAGATTTGCCTTGCCAGACAAAAATCTGCAACGCAGTCCTGATTCAGTGCGCGAGCACACTCAACCTCCCTCGCCTCTTAATGCTTTTCTGCCACCACCAAGAAAATAGATCGTCTTGGCCTCTGTTGAGATGGCTCTTTGTGTGTTTTCTTGACAGATGTAAATTGCTACCAACCAAGCAAGTTGCCTTTGCGTTTACTTTCTTAATATGAACAATGACTTGTTCAAGTGACGTTCTTTGCGAGAATGAAAAGAATGAATATAAATACAGGTAGGTGCTAATACAGGTGTTGTGTTTTGAAGGGGTTGAATGAAAGTATTGAATGAGCAACAGGGACAAGGAGAGGGAGGAAGCACAAGACAGAAAGAGGACGGGCACTCAGTGATTGAGAGAATAAGTGAAAGGGGGAGTAGAATGAGAGTGAGAAGAGACAGAATGAGGGAGGGAGAGAGAAAATAAGCCCCACCAGTGAGCAGGCCACACAGCCCTGCCAAACTGCTTGAAAAAAAGCCCCCTCTGTTTTATTTATAGTGCGCTGTATCCATGGCAACCAGAGAGGTCAGGCAAGCTGGGCCTGCGCTTCACCCTACTCTGGGGATTAGGATTTCACAGAGGTTCTCAGATGTGAGGAAGGTGGGCTAGAGCAGCTCGCTGCTCGCCAACGCAGCCCTCCTGCCTTTTGGTGAAGTCTGGGCCCTTCGAGGGAAGAGAGGGGGAGCAGCAGAGAGTCATGGGAATACTGTGGGAACGGTGGTTTGTGGTGATGGGGCTAGGAGGAAGGGAACAAGCACGAATGGGAAACATACACGCATGTTAGCAGTTGCATGAGGAGGCTGTTTTGATTAGGTACCTTCTGTCACACGAAGGCTCAGCGGAGGTTTTTTTTGTTTTTTTACTTTATTTTGGTTTGTGGTTCGGTTGTTTTGGTTCTTATAGTTGTATTTTAAAAAAAGGTCATGCAAGGTCATGGGAAAGTTTCTCTTTCAGTAATATGTATTGA